AACCAACTTCCCCTTAAAGTCTGAGAACCAGGGACCAGAGGGTAGACAGGCAGTTATTACACCCGCCACAATCATATGCAATTTCTTTGCTCATCGTCTCGATCCTGTACGCGTAGGCCGACCTTCAAACCAGCTTCTCAGTGGCTGGAAGAAGGCAATGAGCCGGTCTAAAATACTTGCATTTTAAAGGAGTGATGTGCTTGAGCCTTGACTTGACCCTAAGGTCTGCCTACGAGTACGATTAAAGACGAATATTAAGGTGACTGCCAGAAATACAGGTTGTCATATAGGTAAATTATAACTTAATCTCCTCTACTTCTTAAAGGATTTGTGCATTTGACCAATTTAAATACTTTATTTCTACAAAGTGGGGGGCCTCAAGTCCAATCAGAGGGCACCTGGTGTGAGCAAACACTTACACCCAGAAAGAATGCGTTGAAACATAGGTGTGCCCTAAAATAAAGATCGGCTATCCGGCTTAAGCAAGATGGCCGCATCATACCACTTCCACCAATTCTACCATGTTTTACTTCCTGCCGCGATTGGAATGAGGAGAAAAAGAATTAGCAAATCTTGCCCTCGCTGAAGTAAAATCAACATTTACTGTCGCTACCATAACCTCTCCCAGCCCGACAAAGATTCCCTACCTATACCTATAATACATACTAGTTCGTTTGAGTGGACTTTTTTAAGAGAGGCGGGAACCAATTGGACACGCGAATCACGTGCGCGAAGACGGTGAGGAGACTCTCTTCAGCTGATATCTCCTATTTGACTCATCTGCATCCCAATCCCATTCTTCCAGTAACAAAAACCATATAAATAATCTGCAACTAACCCTATCTTAAAGTCTGAGGTTCAAGGTTCAATACCCATGACCTAAAAATAATAAGGAAAAATGTTCTTGACAAATTATCTAAAGGTCATTAATTTTGTGACTATTTACATTATCTTAGCAACGAAAGTATTAAGCATATCTAGAACATTAAATTCAGATATAGGGGGTAGAAGTAAGGTTGTTGTCTAAGCGTAAGGTAAACCCAAGCGTATAAAAGGAATATAAATACCCAAGGGATTAAAATGTATCGCTGTCAGTCTTGCCTAGTGTTTTGTTAAACGATGTAGGAAGTATCGAGACGATCGTCTTGGCGGTCATCTTGTTTCAGTCCATCAGACAAAGCTTTAGCGTATGCCGCCTGAGTTCTATCATATGTTCATTATCACAATACTTAACTCGACATTACGCCCTAGTTATTACAAGGAAAGCCTTTGGTTGCCGCATGGATAATCATAAGGCTAATCGTCTAGTCTAGCCCCAAGCAAAGTGGTCAACAACACTTTTTACAACAGGTCACCCCATGCTTCTGCCATAAAATAAAACAACTTGCTTTCTCGTATACTTTTTTATGCTTATAGAAATTTGTAAAAATTGTAGTCTAGATAGAACGAAGTTAACTTCCCGAAGTTCTAGTCCTTGGCATTCCAATGTATAAATGCAACAACGTTCAAAGATCTACCAAAAATTGCAATTTTTCTATGCTTTTTACACTATATTTTAGTGTTTTTTATAAATAGATAATTTTTGTACCTACTTTATTGTCATTTTGTAATGTTTTAGTTAGTCACGCTGTCCGCGCCCTTCGCGATCCTTTTTGTGATTCATTTGTAGGATGTCACAGGAGGCGGTGATGATTGCGTATGTAATTATTTTGATGCTACTACAAATTTAGTGTGGACAACAGCGATTTTATGCGCAATGGTGACTTTACTCCATCACGTCTACAGGCCCAGAATGATGCTGTTAATCTATTATGTCAAGTGAAGCGACAGGCGAACCCTGAAAATACTGTTGGGCTAATATCTCTTGCCAACACCGAAGTTTTGTGTACTCTCACTAGTGATATGAGCAAAATATACAACAGGCTTCATTTGATTCAACCTAAGGGAGGTATTAGCTTTTGCACCTCTGTGCGTATCGCCCACCTGGCTCTTCGCCATCGACAGCTTCGTCACCAGAAGATGCGTATAGTTTGTTTCGTAGGTAGCCCGATTAACGATGATGAGACTGAGGTACCTGCTTTTCTTACTCGTAACACTTGTAGATGGTGAAGCTAGCTAAGCGTTTAAAGAAAGAGAAGGTAAATGTCGACATTGTAAATTTTGGTGAGAACGAAGTGAATCAGAAGAAGCTCCTCGAGTTTGTAGAGTCGGTAAATGGAAAGGATGGTACTGGGTCTCACTTGGTCACAGTTCCACCAGGCACTGTTTTACATGAATCGCTTGCCTCAAGTCCTATTATCGCAGGAGAAGATGGTTCTGGGGCTCTACCTGGTTCGGGCATTGGTCTAGAGTTCGGCTTGGATGCTGTGGATGATCCGGATCTTATCTATGCTCTCCGTGTTTCCATGGAGGATCAGCGCATGAGACAGGAACAGGAGGCAAGTGCGAATGCGGGTGGTCAATCTGCGGCAATCTTGCCGGGGTCTGCCGGCACGTCAGAGGAGGAATTGCTTCGGCAGGCTCTTGCAATGTCAATGCAAGTCGGATCTGGTAGCTCTTCAGGGCCAGTGGATCTGGCCAATATGACAGAGGAGGAACAAATCGCTTATGCAATTCAAATGTCTATGCAAACGGAAGAACAGGAGAGATCATCAGAGGAGAAGAAGTCCGATTCGGGGGTGAGGTTTCCGGTTCATTTCACTTGTTTCTTCATCCATGGAATCCACTAATGTCCTTTGTTTTATCCACGCATATCCGAATTTTGGGCCCTATCTACGTGATGTTTCATTTCTTATGGATATATTCGCGAATTTTCATCCGTTGCAGGTTGTGGTGCATATTTTAACTATTAACCAATGGATTTCGTTTCTACCTTGATTTGGAACTTGGTTGCAGAACTTCAGTTTATCACCATCCTACAGGACTGTTGTAGCTAAATCAGGGTTCGGGGATCATGGTGATGTACTTACATAGAATTGTAGTGCTTTATCTTCATGGCTAAACTCAGAAAAGCAGGACTTCCAATCAGGCTAGATCCAGTCCCGTAACACCTTGTAAGCATATGCTATTGAGTTTAAGGGAATAATATTTGTTTTATTTCACGTGGATTTATTCTCCTATCGTTGGTAATCTTTCAAAGTCATTCTGTATATCAGCCTTCCAAGCATTCATGACTTGTTATTTCAAATCTCTGATTCATTTTTAGTCGTCTTTTATATGTAAGATGCAAGGTTTTTTTATCTAACTTGGAGCATTTTTTGATGCGACGCAGGCACATCTGCTCTTCCTTTCAAACTCTTCCTCATAGCTTGTAATAGGGTCTGGTACTATGGCAGCAAAACTTTTCATTTCCCAAAACGACTGTTGGGTAGATAGAAAATGGTTGCATCTGTAATTGGCTAATGGAGTGAGCTATGAATATGTACTTCAAGTTGCTACATTGGTATTAGTACTTTGACAGTTTCAGAATACTCCTGTTTCTAAGTTTATTTCTCATCTACTCATGAAACGGGGGAGGACTCTCCCATCTTTTGGTAGAATAACGAAGACAATGGCAACAACAATGCGAAAATGGATGTGGATGAGGTACCTCCGACTGCGAGTACTTTAGCTGCAACCACCTCTGAGACTGCCTCTCACAGCCACCAGGTGTCAGGAGAAGAAGAGGGTGCTAAGGGAAAGGATGATGCGGTGGTAGATTGCGATCCTGAATTCCTTCAGTCCGTGTTACAGTACCTGCCCGGTGTAGACCCTCAAAATGAGCAGGTGCGTAAGGCAATCGAATCTCTTACTACGGGATTCAAATCGGATCGTGGCGCATCCAAAGATTCTCAGGAACAGAAAAAAGGCAATGACGATGGTAGCGACATTGATAAAGATGAATAATCTGAATTTATGGGTTGGTCATAATAAAGTTCACTTATTCTGCTTGGCGTGGTTGGACTTCTTAAATGGATGAAATGATCATAACTCTCTGTTTTTCAGAAGCTATCTTTAAAAATTCCACAGGACGCAGGAAGCTTTAGGCCTTAGCACCTGTTAGTCGTAGCGCAGTTTTTGATAGCTCTGAACGAGCTCGGAAAACGGGACTTTGTGAAAGATCTGGGAGATAGGTCTAGCGGGGAACGCAATACTAAGTTAGGGGTGGTAACAATGCTTTGAGATGTCATAATGCAAGTTTTAGTGAAATGCGGAGGAGGTCTTGCAAACACCTGCTCGGCAGAGTTGTTTTTGTTAATTGAACTCCCATCCACACAATTTAGTTTTCTGGTAAGTCTACATTTATCTAACGCAGTGGCTAAAATTAAACTGTTCTTTTACTATTTGTGCACCAACAATACTCCTGTTCCTATATTTATGCTTTCTGTTGCCTTCGATATGAAACACATAGCTTTAGTGTCAGCCTCTTAATTAATTTAATCAACAAGCCTTAACTAAAACCCAACTATAATTTGTATTTTTAATTTGCTATTGGTAAAAAAATTGGCATTAAAATTTGGACCTATTGTCTCATTTTTACTTGTTTTAATTACCGACGAGAGGCCGAACATTTTGGATGCCAGGCGGCTCAAGGTCTACCTCAGAATTGAGGTTGCAGTGTGCCTTCTTACTTCTTCTGATTCTTTGAATAAGTTACCATATGGGGCGGGATGATATTAAGCATGAAGGAAACTCAAAAAGCAGCCGAGAGAGTAGTGCGAGGCGGCGTTGTAGGTATTCAATGGAAACACATGATTCTGAGACGGGTTCCTATCAGAAGCCGAATTATCGAACCTTATGCGTCCGGAAAATTTCCTTAAAGTTCAATGTCGACACCATACGGGAACATTTGCACGATGCTTTCTCAACGTTTGGTGAAGTAGATATCCGCATTTTTAAATCTTCTGAAAGAAGACTTGCAATCATATATTTCCGGTGAATGTCTGTAAATGATAGCAAATTTGGCAACTCTAGACGTTTCATACTCATAGTTATTATTTTCTTTGAGAAACATTTGAATTGCAGTATTGAGATTGCAATTTTACTTTTAGTCACTCGCGTGATGCTCATCGTGCCTACCGGTGCAAACACAGGGTCTACATTCAAGACAGAGCTTTCAGTGTAGAGATTTGGGATGAAAGGGAACCTGTTTCGCGCGGGTCTGGAAAACATGAAGAATCGTCCCCCCATCGACCTCGTTCCTCCCCCAAGCCATCGACTCTTCGACCTTCTCCCTTTGACGACCGTTCTCGTTCGCCTATGCGCACACCCAGTCGTCACTCTCATTATTCTAACCGTGGAAGTAGACCAGGGTCTATGGAATCAGAGCCTCTAAATGACCCTAAAGCCACAAGAACTCTTTTTGTCGGTAGCTTAGAGCCCGATATCACAGAATCCGAGGTTCGTGAGGCTTTTGAGCGATATGGAATTGTTGAGCAGATTGATGTAAAGCATCCCAGTTCTTCACACGCTTACGCTTTTGTTCGCTTTGCTAATGTTGATATGGCAGTGGTGGCGAAGACCAAAATGGGCGGGAATTGTGTACGTTCCTATCATTGCAAGATTGGCTACGGGAAACCCCTAATTTCTAATGTTCTGTACATCAGCGGACTGGACAATTGGCGAGATGCTGAGGAATTAGAATGCTTTCTTAACCAATTTGGAACTCTGGTAAAATTGGACTGGCAGTTCAGACAGAACTTTGCGACGGCAGTGTTCCAAAACACCGAGGTGGCCGAGGAGGTTAACCAACAATTGAAAGCGCTTGCTCTGCGCTATCCAGATCGCAGACTAATGGTTGATTTTATTGAAGGTGACATTCAGAAAGACGTAATCTCTGCGCCTAGACAGTCCTCACTCATCCCCCTTCCCTCAACTTTTACCATTGTCCCCGAATTCATACCCTCTCTCCCCTTTCCGAATCAATTTGTTGCTGCTGCGTTTGATCTCATGCGTGGATCAACAGGAAACAGTGAAAACAACACTTCTGTGTTTACATCTTCTTCAACTGATGATGCACGACTGAGGCGACAATCTCGGCCGATTGATTCCGCTCGGCAGCAGCGATTAACCATGGGCCCTCCATCTCGGCGTTCGGTCCCAGCTTCTCGTTTTGGAGGCCGCGGTGCGTCACCGATCGACAGTCTTCTCCGACCCGATATGACAGACCTTAGCGATCCTGTTCTTTCTTCCATCATTACCATGCCTGACTTGGAAGCATTTCTCCGCCCTCACCTCTGGTTTGCTCGTCTGTACACCAAAAAGTCGGTGTTTCGGTTTAGGTGTCTTCATGTTGTTGGTGATGAAAATCTGGCGAAGGAATTGCCTCAATCGCCCGCTTTTTCTTCTGAAGAGGTTCTACGCTTCCAAATGACCCATCAGGCGCGGACAGAGGCTTCGTGGATGGCAGACGCAGTGGAACAGATTAATGCAGTTCTAGGCGACCCATCCTCGTCACCACCCTTCTCCATCCTTTTGGCGCTTCCAAACCAGGGGGACAAAGTTGAAGATGAAAAGATTGAGAATGAAGAGGGAGATCTGAAAACGAAGTTTGTGAAAAGGCCACTGACTTGTCTTGTTTCCTACTTGCGTTTGAAACAAAGAGCTGGATTTCTCACTCCGTTTCCAACTGGGACTGTGGATGGCGGCGAGAAGAATGGATTTCTTAAGTACACTCTACTTCTGCTTACACCAAGCAGTTTTTCTCTTAGCCTTTTAAAGTTTGCCGCGCCTAGGTTGTCTTCAGGACTGGCATTTGTGGATGACTTTTTGGTGCTTCTACTACTCCGAAACTGAATGCCTTTTCTGTACATTGTTGATGCGCCATTGATGATATTCCCTTTTGCTAAGTGTCTTGGTGCACACTTTCACTCCAAGTCGGGGAAGGTTGGATTTTTGTAATACGTACCTGGGTGTTAGGCCGAGTAAATAAGCTCACATTTCGTTCAATAAATGGAATTCATCTATTTGAGTTGGAAAAGAATGACCCGACGACTCCGAGCTAACCAGCGCGCTAGTTGTTTTGCATCAGCTTCAGTGCAGATCATGAATTAATTGGCCGACAACCATTACTAAAGAGAAGTATTCACAATCCTTTAGTAGTCAGAATCCTCTTACGTCATCTTGTGTAACACGTATTATTTCTACTTGCTACAAACAAGTAGGATTGGTACCGAAGTGTGAAACAGGTGAACCAACATTCTCAGCTTCGCCAATTTGCTAAATAATTTAAACTCGGAAATCAGAACATGCATATACACATTCTGATTCGCATGTTAAATCGCTTACAATGAGCTCGGCAATGAAAGACATTTAAACTTGAGGTATAAATCAAGTTAAGTTGCCATACAATCAGTCATGGCTGAAAAATGCAAGCATTCATAGTCGATGTTGCTCCTCTTTCACCTCCAAAATTTGATGACACCGTTCATGCCCGCAGAGACCAGAAAGACGCGTCCAGGGGTGGGACTAATGAGGGTTAAGTCACTGATACCATTGGTGTGACCTACTGTGACGTCGCCTACATCTAAAGGGCTGAAGTAGGTTTCACTGCGCCCACTCTTTGGAGTTGTGAAGGCAGATGACTGACGCCCCCGCTGCTGTTGCTGCTGAAGGCAGTCTTCCATGGACTCCACTTCTGTCACTACTCGCACACCGTCGACCAACTTTTCACTGGAGAGGAGAGGGAATAAGCATTTATCATAGTGGTGCAATGTCAAATTAATGCTTCACTGGTAAAGTACCTAGAGGACTGTAAATGCTTGCCCGACAATCTTCGGAAAAGCGTTGTGATACATTTTATGAACAGTGGTGGGGAATTTCTTTGCAAAAAGGAACTATGGGTGGGTGGCCTCAATCCTCCCATGAGCTAGCTAATGGCTGGACCTTTCTCCGCCCCAGTGGTGCGATTTAAAGAGGGAGAAAGCATACCTAAAGGAGACATGTGGACGATAGATCTCCTCACTCCCCGCCCAAGCCAGAACCGAAGAGGTATCAGGTTGAGCAAAGCTCCAGCATCGGAGCCGAGCGTCATGGCCGCCCGTCACCAGTGTTGGCAATGCAGCAGCAATATTGACTGTGCCCGATATTGCCGTCGAGGGCGATGATGAGGATGTAGATTGTGATGGAAGAAGAAGAAGGCTGAGAACACCACGTCTAGGCAGTTGGCAGACGGTGTTCTCAGTCAAAGGCTTCGATTCTTCGTTTGCTTGCGTCCACGTGGCTGCTACGCAGGCTGTTGATGCCTGGCGTGGATTAGAGTCGTCCAGATCGAAAAGCACTACCTCATTATGGTGGCCCGTCGCAGCACAAATCTACAGATGTGGAGGGTAAAAACCTAAACATTTCCCAAATTTTACTTTTAAAATTTCGCTGAGTTATAAACTGGAATTATGGTTTCATTTAAACTTGAAACAGTATCTGGTCTCCGAGTAAAGGGTAAACACAATCGTTATTTTTTTATCAAACCCCAAAACCTACAACTACCTCAGCTGTAGGACTCCGATTTCGTACACATGCAAACTGCACCAGAAATTCACAAAAAGATCGGGAAAACAAACAAGGAATTGGCGCACCAGTGTGGAGTGTGCAGTTTGCCGATTCCAGTCATAGAGTTGAAGCCTAGTGAATCCCATGGACGTCTTAGTATTATGGGGCAAAATGAAGTATGAAATGGCACGCCGGTAGCGTAGATCCCAAACGACCACGTGGCTGTGGAGTGTCCCTGCAGCCAGCCACGTATGACCGCTGTGAACGGCGAGACAGGTTATAAGCCCTGAAAAGGCATAAACACCGACCACCTGCCACGAGTTCGTGCATAGACAGAAACAGTATAAGGTAAAATACTCACCATGCATGCGATCCTGTTTCAGCCACCATACTGGTTCCTTCACCCGCACATCTTGTCCCACAATATTTCCGCTAGTCGTGGAGTAGACCAAAAGATTTTGATCAGTTCCGCTGGACATATAGGAGCGAAGAGGACCTTCGGCATCGCCACAAAAAGCGATTGCCGGAGCAGTTAGGTATGTGGCTCTCCCATGATGTGCCGTTTGCAGAGGATAGAGAGAGCGCAGACAACTAACCGAGTCGTCCACCAGGTGAATGGCTGAGCTATTGACTAGTGTGGCCACACTGCTCCCGCCTTCTGTCCATACAAGATACTAGGAACGAAACGTGGATGTGATGGGTCAAACATGAATACTTCTGACTTACCCGACAGCTCTGCTTGGTATCAAGAGACTCCTGAGGCTGACGAACTGAGTAGCTGGAGAGAGATCTAGAGGGAAAGGAGCGTCCAGCGAAGGTGTCGACATCCACGACATCACTTTCATCATTCCTCTCCATCCCCACGGTCGCCATACTATCATCAGAGTTTTCCGGGGCGGTCTCGTCGTCCTCGCTCGCAACTCGCTCAACAAATTCATCGGTGGAAGTCATCAACTGGCTAGAACTGGCATGTACAGTGCGTCCACAGTCCCAAAACTTAACTAGACCGTCGCCACTGCTGCATGAGGCGAGCAGACGACCGGATGGATGTAAGGCTAGACTGTGAAGGGAATGGAGAGAAAATACTAAATGCATTTGGAAGCTCTCCTTAAACCTCGGATGACTCTGATTAACAAGGTTGAAAATTCGATTAACTTTGGATCCTAGTTGACTTAAGCGTGAGAGATGAGGGCACATTCAGGCCGAAATCTTCACGTGAATATAATGAATCACGGTTGGTAAAAGCCTGTCTTCGTTGGAATCAATTAAATTAATATAGCAACGGCATGTAATCCACAAAAAAAAAAATCTGAAACGTGTACTCCCGGCATTAAATACTTGGAAATGTTGAAGTGCCATGCAAAACAGCTAAGCAGCGTCGAGTTTCTTTGAATTAATAAGTTAAAAACCATTTCTACATCGGAATCAGGCGTGACAACAATTCATTCATTAATAGAAAAAAAATTTTGCCAACTTTTGATGAGATATTGAATCATATTGTTTTACAGGTAGAGCAACATGGAACTCAACAATTTGCATTAACAACACCTTCATATTCCAAACAGGCACGAAACGACCAGTCTTCAGCCTCTTAAACTATCAACTAGGAAGTTTTGAAGGTAACTCTCCTTTCAAACGTTTTTTGTGACTGATAGGTAACTTCTTTTTAAACCAGAGATGCTAAAATTCCAAATGAATGGATTGACATCCAAGAGCAGTATATCTCTCCCCATAATTTAGGTAAATTTTTACTCCTGGCTTATGGGGGTAACGAAGTCGAGCGGATTTGAACACGTAGACCAGTTGAGCTGAAACCGCAAAAAAGTGTTGCAATTCAAGTTATGAAAAAATATACCTCAAGTGACCTGGCATATGCTCATGTACATGCACAAGGAGTCGTAGACAGGGCCAAGTGTGTCCACTCCCTAGTGTCCACGTTGGACACTCGGCAACGCCACATCGCAGCTGAGGTGGAATGAGAGCAACTTGTGAGGCTGCGTGCAAAGAACGACCACCACCGCTAAGGCTGCCATTAGAAATGCGGAGAGAGACGAAAGAGTCCTGCGAATCCTCAGCAATCAGTTTCGGTGTCGACGATCCAGCAACGGTCAGGCCACGAGCGAAGACGACATTGGGAGGAGGATTGAAGGGCAGGGGAATACGGCCTTTGCGAATGCGTGACGAAATTATATCGACGAACGAGGGCTTAGGTATGATGGAGGTTCTGGATGGGCGAATTACATAAACATGAAATTGGTCACGCGAAACTTTCAACATCCATAGCTCCCAGTCACCAACATGGGAAAAGTGTCTCATTCGCGTCAAATCCGCGCTAGAAGTCACCAATCCAACGTAAAATTGTGCCCAGATCCAAATATCAGCATTAAAAACGCTGAATACCGAATCGCAAGTGCAGGACTCGTAAATCAAATACAAGTATAGGATCGACAGCTTCTCCGTTAATGACATCGTTTACTATCGGAAGAAAGTGAGCAGAATGTGACAGCAGAAGAGCTATCGATTACTGGGTTTAGTTAGGAAGAAACCTCTGGATAGGAATGTGACTTTGAACGCAATGCCAGGTCTCAGTGTCATTTTCGACCCGATGAAAAACTAAATCGCTACTAGTCATAGATAACATCCTTTAGCCTTAGTCGATGTACACCGACTACTCGATATGGTGGCATGTCTTGATGGTGGAATTTTGGATGTGCACATGCAACCACCCTTTATCGTTCTCCACCTTCAAGACCTCATGATGCATATCCGGGACCGGCTGTTCATGCATATGCCTTTGCCTCTGTTTTGCGTATAAAGGAATAAAACTATGAGAGAAAATGGGAACTATGCAACGTGACTTCGTATGGAGAGGTGGGAGTAGAGCGCACTACATCTGGATCAAGGGTGCGATTCAGACAATAAGCAGCCGCAACGCTTCTTCAAGTGGCTTGCAGGTTTGCCGTAAGTTTAGTCGGTATAAAGCATCTACAAGACCTCAACCACCGTTTAAATAAATACTGCAAGATAGTCATAGCAACTGTAAGGCGAAGTTGTTCTTCCTTCCCCATTCCCACCTTAAAATATAATTCTTTAACTGGTTTCCCAATTAACAATTCATCATTCTTTCTAAAAAGCATTTCTAACTCAGCCGTGTTGGCTTGCATGCAGAGAACAAAACTAAGCATAAAACCATTTGTGATAAAACAAATTGGAAAAATCACTTGACCTTCAGACATTTGAATCACAAAATTTTGCCATGGGGACGTTGTCCCCCTTTGCTTTTGACTTCTCAAATCACGAGCGCTCATCTCCATTGGTGAGGCTAAAAACGCCGTATCGTGGCGGTAGGAAAGAGCCTTAACGTGCTTCTATCACGTGTTCTTGCCAACCTTAGCTACGCTTGAAAGCAAGAATATGTGGTTTTGTAGCTGAGCTCACACTGCTAACCAGAACGCTTTCAGAGATCGATGCATCAAAGTCGAATGAGATTGCCACTGTTTAGAAGAGCATGAAATAAAACTATTCGACTTAATGAAGCAATAAATCAACTGAAATTCGACTAGGGGTTTAGAATTAAGTTCCTGATAGAAATGCAATTTTAGAGATTAAGTCAACGTCAACCTGACAGAAGCTACAGTTGCTAGTTCATGTAAAATAAATTCATTAAGAGAAAATAAAGTTGCCGAGCATCATAAAGCACATTGCAACATGGTAGAAGAGGCTTACATAGGAGAATGAGTTGTTTTTGCTTCGCATGGGGATTTGAGTAGCTCCGAAGTTGACACTAAGAGGAATAAAAAGGTAGTACATTGAACTAGGAGTATCATATTTTTGGTAGAAAAATAAGCGTCAGGCAACCGGAACAATGCTCCTCATTGTATACTCTGCTCTCCAGTTCGAGTCCTTAACCAATAAAATCGTCACTAAGTTTGTAAGGCTTCACAAATTGAAGTGAGATTAAGACTTTTGATGGCGCAATATCGAGTTCAAGTAAAAACGCATTAATATGCGAATGGGTCAAGTATAGGATGACCCCACTTCCAATAAGGTCACTACAGCAGAGGTCGAAGGTTAACGTATTAAGATCGGATGTAAATAATCAAATGATCCCCACTCACACAAACAGGACGCACAAATTATTTTTGCAGTGAGCTGACTTCCTGATTTCTGTATTGAGCAAAGTCAAAATCAGTTAGTAAAAATTCTTCGATTGCCAGGAGTTAGCGATGTCAACGCGCTCAGGGATAGTGTGAATAGATGATCTCCTGGCGTATCGTTAGCATGCATTCAACTGACAACTGATTGTGTTTCCCTACAAGATTCATGATGGATGGATGTTATTAGTGGTTTAGCGTTACTGAATAGCACGTCACCCTGAAAATGGTAGTTAGCAACCAAAGAGCCGTGGAAGTACCGCAAAAACGGAAACGACTCTACCATACATACAGGATGAACTGATCTTCTGCGGCCCACGCATACACACCACACCAGAGGGAACAGCAGGTAGGGGGTATAGTCTCGCCTTCGGAAGGTCTCCATTAAGCGAAGGGACAACATGGACCAACTGATTTGGCGCCCTCAGAGCAGCTGATACGGAGGAGCCCCGAGAGACTGACTCCGCAGCGTCTGCTGCACTTTGGCATAGGCCCGTCAGTAGGGGCGCCAAGAGCAGCACTTGATTTTCCGCCTGGTCGGTCATCTCGTGCTGTCGGAGACGTTTTAGAACTTCGGCCACGATGTCACTCTGTACAGAGGAGGAGTAGAATGCTGTTAATGAAAGCTTAAAAGATCAACAAAAAAAATATAAGATAGAAAATCGAAGCATGGAATTAAAGTATATGGCATCAAGTTAGGTTCTAAAAGTCTTTTGGATTTCTGATGAATAATGTCTACCTTTGACTACTGTTGCCACAATTGTCACATAGTTAACCTTTGGAATGAACGCTACCATCGGTTATAAGCCGAAGAATGAGAGAAGATGCGAAAGGAACATTTGCAACAGAATTACTTGAAGATGAAAGAATAAAAACGGAATAAATAGGATGATCTCCTCCATCCCAATCCAGTTACTTAAACAGATCATCTCATATGGAAGGAAATTTTGATAGTTCTGATAAAATTGAATCTTATAAGGAGTGATGCCTTACAACAATAATTGTTGCCCTGAAACACAGTGAAGAGCACAATGAGAACTTCGTTATGCTTTTATCGCTGAGAGAAATAAGATCCAACAAATTGAGAGATATTCGAACATCGTATCAGGAACAATTAACAAAGAACGTAATCATTTTTTGAATGGTAAAAAAAAGTATTAGAATTCCCCAGTGAAAATATAACCGACCGAGGGAACAGGGTACCAAGGTGTCTCGCAATTTTTCGCTGTCTTCCTTGCAGCCTGTCGGTCCAGCAAGTGCTCCTTCAGATCTATGAAAAGCTGACGCGGCGAAATAGGCGTCAGAGAGGGATCGTCACAGCAGAATTCTGCTGCAACATCAAATAGAGTTGTAACGACAGTCTCAATGAAGGCATGGCTCAGACCGGAGTGCAGAGCAGACAGAAGCACTGAGTCATTGGTAAAATTTGAACCAATTGGACGGCTAGAGATAGTGGGGAAAGAAATCAAGTGTAGCGACTATCTCTTAACTGCAAACATCCTAATTTGGAATCATGCAATACATGTAAAAATGTACAAAATATGGTGTCTGATAGAACCGTTTTGAAATTGAATCATTTCATAAGTAATTGGCAGATTAAAATACCAACAGAAAGAAAGCATAAAAAAGAATTCGTTTCAGAGCCACCACTACCACTACTACCACTGGTAGAACTAAGTTAAAATTCACCTACAAAGAGGAAAGTTGGCAGAAAATGCACCAGAACAAACGTTCCTCAAAACTGGAGATTGATAACCCAAAGTGAATCCCAACTCACGCAAAGATACCCTCAGCGACCTCTCGAGTGAACAGATGAGCGTAGACAGTTGCAATTCCATACTTGCCTCCAGCGAAGCGTTCCAGATCAATGGAGCAATTATGGGAACGGTAAACGTGGATATCATTTTTGCCTTCAATTGCCGTTGTCTCGATTGTGTGATCGTCCAGAGGTTCATTGGGCGCAACGGTGAGCGCCTTCAAACCGTTGCGTGCAAATGCTGTGACGTAGGCGATACAGGCCTGTGGGATGGTATGATTGAAGGTATGCAAAATAAATCCAAAAGCGCCAAATCCTCCCAATGCCTCTTTTGTCTAGATGAAAGTTCTACTCCATTAAGTTCTCGCGTTCTATTTCCTTGGTATTGTCCTCTGATGATTTGAAAATTGCAATTCAGCATTAGGGCAATTTTCACTCTTGGAAAGAAATGCTGCTCCGATGGTATTTTTAGGATTAGGAGTATATTACAAACTAAACAAGTGTTACTTATCAAGGCAAACATGTTCAAGTACCATCAATAAAACCGGAGGTATCTAACCCCACGCGTTAGTTTCGCCACTGCTTCCATCTCAGTTTGTATTTGAAATGCAAAAAATTATGAAGAAATCCATAGTTACTATTGAAACAAAAGATCGATAATATCCAGCCAATCTCAGCTATTTAAACTTCAATTGGCTTGGTGCAACTAAAAGTTCTAGCGACACTGGATATAGTTGTGGTGAGTCGGCTGAAGATCGACTAAGCCAGGAGGTCCGAGAGGCGATGGTGCGCTATAATAAACCCACCACCCCATCCGAAATAACCGCTATAGTGTCAACTGGCAAATAGTTAGAATTTAAAAGTTAAGCAATAAAAAAATGTAAATACAGGGAGTTTTTCCTGCAAGCTTGCCAAGTGGAAACTCAGTTCGGTTGAATGAGAAAAGTGCAACAAGGCATTAGATTATGGAAATAGTTGACAAAGCATCCATAATGCACTAAACAAATGCCCGAAATCTAACTTAGATGAGGTAAATTAATTACGTGAAATGGGAGCACCTGAATGAAAGGCCCAAATTATGAAGTCTACCCTGAATGATGGATGATCCTACGGGTTGTTAGAAGCAAAAGAGCGCCCATACAGACTTGGATAGGTCAAGTTACTGGACAGATATGAGTTACATGTCAAAAAAACATGGAGAAGGTAGGAAAAAAGAAAGTTTAACAGAGTAGAAAACATAGAGGATGGTACAAAACTGGCAGAGTCATACAAGCGAGTCGACTGGGTGTAGAAACATCATATGAACCTGAGAGATAAAGGAAAGGTAGAGGGAGTTCAAGTAAAGAAATAAGTAGGCGTCAACTCTTTGAACCACCACGAACAGAACAGTAAAGAGTAACAGAACTACCCAGAGTCAAAAACCTGTGAAAGCGCATAGCTAATGAAATAAAAGTGAGAGGAAGCCGACACCTAAAATCAGTGATCGAGCTTATGGATTCGAACACAGCAATAGAAATCTTTTGGAGTACTTTGGTTGTGGGATTGACAATAAATTATCCAGTGACAGAAGATGTAAAGTGGGATATAATGGATGAAGTAGCGAGGGTAACGCTTGCCCACCTGTCGAATATGCGCAGCGGGATAAGGGGTGAGAGCGAGGACACGATGGAGGAAGACGATAGTGATGGGTGCACTGAGGACACGGCGACGTTCGAGGTAGCCAAGGGCTCGCAGACAGGCAACGAGAGCAGTCTCATGGGGATCCGCGAGGCCCTGTTCCAGCAGTGGACGCAAAACTGTCACTGACTGCGGACCAAAGCAACTGACCAATGACGCCACTTGATTGAAGAAGGCTGCGCGCAGATTTGCGTCTTTCTACAAAGGGGAGAAAAATGGGAATATGGTTAGGAGTTCTAGAAGCTATTTGTATCATACCATTCTTTAAATATACCTAGACAAATCAAAACGACGACGAGTAGGAAGTGGGCATATGAAGTCGCAAACTGTAATGGGAAAAACTGGCAGAAAACATTCGACTTCATGAAGGGAACAATACTGCCGCAAATGGAGAAAATCTGATAAAACAAAACAAAACCTGATAAACGAGAATAATTACATCAGAAATGTTGTCAAGCTCGTACAAACGAAATCAAGGGAGAAGGAGAAGAGAATGAAGATTAATAAATCAGTCCTAACAACCATTGGTCGCGAGGACGTATAAAGAACGCGTCTAACCTTGTCATTGAGGAGGGTAACCATATGAGACAAGATGGCGTCGCTGGACGTGGTGTGACCGAGGAAGGTGGCTAGTGCGGCGAGTCCAGTGACACTTTGGATGAGAGAGCGGCGCACAAAGTTGGCCGCTGAGTCGTCTGAGAAAAGGGATACCAAGCGCTCGCGTAAAAAGGCTTGGACTCTCTCTTTCCCTTTGTTCACGCTGCGAGTCGGCAAGGCAGTGCCTATCAAGCGCAGTGCTGTCCCCACATCCGATAGTGCAGTCTAGTGAAGGTAGAATATATGCATTTTACATATAAGATAGTATCACATATCAGTATCCTGAGTATCCTCAACACATAGATGAGCCAAGATTTGTTAAAAGGTGTGCTAGGGATATAAAGAGGTTTTGGAACCAACTAAACGATAATAAAAGCTTTGATCTCTAATTTTATCAGAACGAAACCTTTGAAAGAAAAATCAGAAAAAAGGTGAATAACCTCTCCTCCAAGAAGAACTTTGAGGATGTCATTCATGACCTTAGGTTAAAAGGTAAACGAAAACCACAAAACGTGGAGCTTGTTTTCAAAGGATCAGAATTTTGTAAACACTTGAATAGTTGATATTTGATATTACTAGGCAATACGTAGACCTCTCTAAACAGTAGTGGAAGCAATGTAGAGCATCAGAAGAACTTTACAAACATCAACCTAACAAAAAACTCAATGTGTTTCTCACCAAGTTAATTCCTTTTTTCACTTGAAGTTGTTAGCGGAAGCAAAACACAGGCTCCTATTTGTTTGATTAAAAATTAGGTAATATAACCTTTTCATGAAATGCAACACATCGCTTAAAAAATGTGGCTAACAAAGCCTACCTGCCCCAGCAGATTTTCGTCCAAGCCTCCCTCCTCCTCCCTCTCGTTCACGACACGTAGCCTAGCAAGGTCCAACAGTCTAGCGAAGTAAAACATTGATCGAATGAATGCAACCAAACCAGAGTAGCTGATTTGTAACGCATACGCCCAACTTGCCGTGAACAAACTATTGTAAGTCGTGATAGACACTGCGCCAACGCAATTCGCACATCCGCGCAAGGATCCTGAGTTAATAACGAGAGATAGGGCAGGAGGAATTCATTCAGGAAACGTGTGTCACTGAGGACTGCCACGCATTCCTCTTCCTCCGAATCTCGCCTTCTCTCCCCCTTCCCATGGATCGCTATGGTTGTCGCACACTCCAGGCTTTCTATCAAGCCCTCCAATGCCAAACATCGAACTCCTGAACCGTGGAGTCGTGAGTCAGAGAGGAGTTCAACAAAGTGTGGCCAGAGACGATTGAAGAGGCGAAGCGAGGGTATACGTTTGATGAGAAGGGAAAGACATAAAAGTGCATCCATTTTGCCGTCCTCAGAAGGAATTCCAGAGACCTCATTGATGGAGGATACTTCATTGATATGGGCAGAAGTGACTGGATTAGCTCGGTTGAAGTATTGCAGATGCAAGGTGGCAGTGATGAGATTGCAGAGTATAACCGAGCCGGCAGATCGGGCGGAGGCAGGTTCATTGAGGAGGTTCGAAATTAGATTAGGTAAATTTCTACAAGAATGACCATTTAAATACAGGTACATGTTTATCACAACTTAATAAGAGAACAGAGCCTTGAAGATGTTCCCTATCGGTAATTTGACATAAAATAACAATCGTGAGGATTGATGGGCAAGAAAGATTAAATAGAACAAACGTTGTTTCATTAATGCATGCATGTGTCTGGACGCTTTGATGATGCAACTTCTAAAATTTCTATCACCACTTTTGGATCGGAGGTAAAGCCTGAAGTCGCCAAGGTAGCAATTTGGAGAACCCTACATCGTGACGATAAAGCCATTTACAAATGATCCGCATTCAATCAAAATGCTTGTCAAGGAGAAGGCTTAATAAGTGAAGACGGATACCTCAGCTTAAATGTACTTATTTCATCCATAAAGCCTTTAATAGAAGCAGTGCTCATACAGTAGCTTCGTGTTGCCCTCAAAGGTACTAAGCGTCCCCAACGCCCATCCGGTTACCCCTAATCTCAGATTTTCTAACGACCCTTCAATGGTACCAACCCGACCCAGTTCCTGGAATAGGGTACGCAAAAAGTCCATCGAAATATCCATAAAGGGTGACAAATAAGGATAGGGCCGTCAGCAAACTCACGATCGAATAAAACGAAGCCTAGCGTCTGGACTGGCCATAGAGGGATCGAGGAACGACTGCATGAATGGATGGAGGTGGGAAAAGAAGAACTCGGGAAAGAGGCCCCCCCGATGGGTGGAGAGATGGTGTGCGGCGCTGCCACGAGCCTCCGGATGCAGCGAAAGTAGCTCCGTTATCAGTGACTGCCGACAATAGAAAATCCAATTTATTTAAGAAATTGAGACAGGAAATCTCCCTTTGTAGATGGTGTAACTGCAAAGGTTGCAAATGTAGCTGTGGCCACCGGACACAGTAACACACTATTTTAAATGCTGACAAAGGAAGTACATGCCGCAAAGAAAGGTGCAAAATTTGGTCAAAATGGACATGGTTCCAACAATTCTTTGATTGGTGAGTTCGCCTATTGTAGCCTCTATTTTTAGAAATGGGATGCCCCACTTGAAACTGCAGATTTGGCTAGCAACTCGTCAGCACTTGGAGTTTAGGTATTGACAGATATTCAGTCTTCCATAATCCACTGTGAAACCCAGCACCAATTGGGAACCTCGAATCTTTCAGAGGTTCCCTTTTACAAGGAACTAATCAAAACATTTGAAGATGACTCCCAAATCATGGCAGTTATTGCCCATCGAGAGCAAATAAATCCAATAGCAAAAGGACATCATCCCGACGACAAGCAATCCAACTAAGGTCTGCGCTGTGCGCTAACCGTAGACTTGAGAAAAGCACCAAAATTCGACGAAAATAGCATCTTTTTTACTTATGGTGAGCCAAACACAGTCCCCGCGTCACGTTGTTTACATCTTAATACAATGAGTTCCAGCAAAAAGTAAAACCATGTTTTAGGGCTTCACTCAGTTTCAGGTTAAAACCTTGAAAAATCAGCCAAATATTTCCACAAGCCATAGAATATGACAATGACAACCGATCTGACCAAGCACCTTTCATTCACAATACTTGACCAGAAATCTCTTCTCCCCTACCCGTCAATCTATATTGTCCAGAATTTAGTTAGCGTCACGCTCACCGACAAATAGGGATGATCTTTCGTTATTTCGGGCGACGGTGGGTCAATCAGTCATACGTTCAGAATTATGGGATAAAAGTTAGACATTAAACATATTTTTAGTTCTATGATCATAAAATACCTATTTGGAGTCTCGGGCGATAGAAATTAGTCCATAGTCAGTGCAATCAGGCGTACTGCCATTTGTATATCGGAGAAATGTAGGAACGGTGACAACAGAGGCGCCAGCAAATCCTACTTGTATCATCCAATAAGGCGCCAAGTGGATCAGGAATGTTAAAACTAGTTCAAAATGCGATTTGTGAAAAATGGCGTGACATACACGAGCAGCAGGATCCGCAACGGAGGCGAGTAGTTTCATAATCCTCGTGTTTTGATGGCGACGGTAGGCAAGTAGGTCTGACAGCGTGAAGGCCACCGATCCATCCGTGAACATTTCCAACAGAACACACCTGGGCAGTAAAATGACATTTAGCTGCACCCACTCTTCGATTACAATGTTTAGGTTCATGCGACATGTGAAAATCTACGACAATGGTGTAGTTGCTTACGCCATAAGATGCATATGAAAATGATCAGTCTTGCTACATTGGCATCAAAAGTGGGAAATCGAACCTCAATAGACCCAAAAATTTCATTTTTTTTTGACCTAGTAACGAATCCAAACGTCAGCAGATGAAGTTCGATTTTTCAAGCCACAAAGCTACTCTCCGCTGTATGCTTTGCTAAGATTTGACACATTATGAAAAGTGCTACACAAAAGAAAAATGACCCACAAGGTGCGTTTGCTACCAATCACCACTTAGCCTTCAGCAAAATATGACGAATACCTTACAAGTCGAAGGTGATACAAAAATTATGAAAACTTCTCTTAGTATCTATGTTCCTGCCTTGCCTGCATTGATAATACGTTTCACCGTTTCACAATAGTCGTTGTGAAAAGTTTGCATCCAGCGCACTTTTAATGCTCCAAGAACAACTGAGCACTTCTTACCCATGTGCCCAATCTCATTATCCTTCCGCGGATGTAATAAAATATACCACCAGACTTGAGCGCACCATAATTGACTGCGTAAATGAAACCGCATCGTAAACATCAGTCAGAAGTGGTAGAGAACCGGAAAAGATGAGGTAATTATTCACGAACCCAACAGAAAAGAGGTCCATGGAGGGCCGCAGATGTGGTTTCTTAAGACAGCCTATGAAATTCTCCGTCAAAGGTTTCTCCGTCGCATCCACGTTTGGTGGCGTCGAGGATGCCGAGTGCGGGTACAACTCCGGTACCAATCGGAGGCGACCAATCATATTTGTTGCTTTGTCGATCTCGCTCAAATAGCTCTCTTTAAATTGAGTGATGGTGTCATTTAGTGGAATAGCTTGAGTGCCCATCTCTGCCAGGGACTGCGGCGACAAAGCGTCTTCGTCGTACGCTTGCAGATATTCATCAGCCACCTCACCGACTGTCACCTCCTCCTCCTCCCCCAAGGTCTGCAAAGGGAAAATTACACAAACTTCACAATTCATATTACATAAGATCACCTCAAATGGTCCCATTCGACGCCACGCTTAAGGCGCGCCCACAATATAGGATGATCTGGGTTTGATTCTTGATGCTGTCGGTGAACATTTTCACCTTATTTGTCCGTCTCAAGGAAAGGATGACCACCAAAGTTCAGGCGTTTCGCCGACTTGGTACTAATACCAGTTCGCTTTCAACAACGAAAAACCGAAATTTGTTTACCCTCCACTTAAGAGCAGCTTACGGCCACAGTACATTGGGTGCCAGTTGCTGGTTAAAGGCTGACAGAGAAAGTTTTAACTCGACTAATAACAGCTCGCATAGATATAAAGTTGAGATATGTTACCAAAACAAAGTGCCATTAGTTATGAGATAAATAAAATATTTTATTTTGTTGAAAAGGCATCGCATAAAGTGCATATTCATTTCATCTGCATCTCCTTTACATAGATTACCTACGAAGCATGGATTAGTCAATCAATAAGACGCCCTTACTTATGCTTTATATCCTCTTGTTCCCACTTAGACAAATAATAAGGATGTCACCTAAATCAACCTGGTAAATACGATCTGTGCCTGTCTGGCTTTAAAGTTGGGAGGGACACGATCCTGAGGCCGCTGAATCTACAATTTCCTTAGAACTTAGACGTGTAGAATGGAGTAGAACATACTGACCAGATAAACCTCGACGACCTGATTCTGTTATTGGATCTCTCAACTGTCTTCCAGCCTTGGTAATCATGAAGATATACGCGTCACTATCGATACCTTACTACTGAATTAATTGGCCACTATCGCTCACGTCCAATGGATGCCTACAATAGATGGTGGACAGAAGCAAGCCTCAGGCTCCCGTTTTTTTCGTCACCTCAACCATGGGCTTTACCAAAGAGGCTGAACGTTTCCATTCCAGTGTTTGTTCGATTTACTTAATATTTCACCTCACAGTCCCAAGACACGGTCGCAGCCGGCGCACGTTTGTGAAGCGCAGATCCAAGGGCTCACTTGATAAAGGCTAAAGCTCAATTACAACGCGGATCTACTTCCACGACATGACAGCCTGAGTGCACCTACGAAAAAAATATCGATTGCAAGGCGGAAGGAATGGGAAGTTAGACCCAGTGCATTGGTCAAGTTGCCTTGAGGTCTGTCCTGAAAAAAAAATTGCATGCGACCGAAATGATATCTAAGGTTGCAAAAGGGATGCTGCCTCCTCTTTGTCTCATTTTCCTCAAGTGATGTTCCTGTTAGTGCAATTCACTACCTCCTTTTGTCTAGGATGATCACGTGGTCATTTATGATGGCGTCATTTGAGGCAAAAGAAAGGCAGGAGCCGAGGTGACTACGGATAGGATTTCAAGTTTACCATAGAAAATTCAATGAACTTCCCTAGTTATGGTTTCAAACAACAGATTTGTTGAGGAGCTTCTTAACATTATTCAAAAATTGCTATGAAAAGCATGAAATTGGTTTCACCGTTTGTCAGAGACCCTGACATAAAGGGATATACTGTTGTTCAATGATACCTCTGGGTTGATTGCTGATAAAACTAGCAAATAAAGAGAGAGGGTTAGAGGAAATTAAGACTTCTGACAAAGAAGACGAGAGGAAAAGAAACAGTTCTTAACTTTTAAATACAACTATTTCTCCCATACTGTCTGTCGTCCACAGGACCCTCATGTTTCCAAAAGACAATGCAAACAACATCTCTATCGTACTAAAAAATGAAAACCCAAAGTGTGCTGTTTCATAAAGACGTAGAGGACATAAAGCTGAAAACCTTTACCTTTTCTCAATGCATTAACCAGCTGGAGAGTTGCAAGCCAAATAAGGGGCAGGTGGGAGGAGAGAGTAGTCTTAAACAGACGAGACTATCAAAAGTGAACACTTCCCACACCAATCTGCCTTGAAAAGACAATAAAGAACCCCTGTACGGAGGCAAATTTCGATGCAAGCAAAAGTGTACTTAGAGAAACCCAATTACACCTTCACTGAATATCTCCCAATTCAAGCTGTTCCGCAGAAAAGGAACCAAATGGCAGCAAAACACTGCAATACCGAGTGATTTTCATGGGACCAATGTATGGCAAAAACCTCTAGGCTACTCAAAAACCTAATTCGAGCTGAAAACGATTAACGAAGTTAACCACAACTTTACACTTAACCATTCCTAAATTCGTCACACTCACCCCTCAAGCGCTCACTAACATGACTGTGGATTCACTTATCATCTTCCATAGATTGCAAACTCCCATAACACATAATATTGTGTTACAACCAAATCAAGAGTGCTTCGAATATGATCATCACGAAACAGCATTATGTAAGATTGTTTTGTTTGAAGTGGAAAGTGGGTAAAAGGTTACGACTCAAGACCAAATACTGCAGAATCTTTGAGAGCATGGATCACAGAGAAGGTGTGATCGGCCAAAATTTGCATGAAGCAAACCAAACCGCTGCAGAACATAAGAGGAGTGGAACAATTGAAAAAGCAAAATAATCGATAGGTTCCTCTTTATTATCTACAAGGATCAAAGCTACACTAATTGTTTAGAACAAAAATCCTTTAAAAACAATGAAGTGGGAATCAAATATAATCATTCCTAAGCTTCGCCTTCCAGATGGCTCAGCTTTGTTAAAAGGTGTCAAGGGAGAAATAGAGGGAAGATGCTACATACCAAGATAAGTGCAACAAGTTCACTTATTCAGGTTTCAGGCATCTATTCGTCGAATGCAAATTGGCTCAACTGCAGATGTTTTTTTTTTCGTATTAGCGGAGGCAAAGGAATGCAAGGCGCTTTTGACGCGCGTAAAAGGAAAGGAGTGAACGAAGGAGCACGTTTGTTCATTTAAAAAGAAGCTTGAATTTGAAGCATGCTATTTCAAAAGGGTCTAAAAAAGTTATTCAAAAGCAAAGTTCATTCGACGACATAGTGTCAACTAAACAGCAATCCTCCTCGAGATTGGAGGAATATTTCCAAACAAAGGGTGATCTGCATCATCAAACCTAACGTTCGAATGCGCTTGAGAAGATAACAGCATCAGTATCCTCATTCATCAAGCAGGATTGCATAAAAAAACTGATCTGGACTCGCGATGGGATAAAAATTTCAAGACAAAGCTACCTCTAACGCCTTTGAGACTAATTTTCAAACGACTTCAAAAACGAACCCTTTGTTTTTAGATGCAACAGAAAGCAACCGGCAAAAGAGAAGAGACAACAACCGATTCATGTGCATGAACATATTTATGAAAGCTAATTCTTTTGACCAGGCAGAGCCATTTTTGATTGGAAAACAGTAATGACCTTAATTGAGAAAGGGGAAATATCCACTCACAGATTCAATACCACCTTTGAGGTCGAGCGACTCGGGAGCAGAGGCGAAAGCCTCACCACCACCAGCAACACTGGAGAGGAGCGGGTCTATGAAGCGTTCAGGAGCTAGATAGCAGACCCGACGTCGGGAGCTATCAAAAAAATAGGTAAACTCGCTTGGGTTGTCCGCTGGCAGCAGGGTAGACTTGAAGGGCGCCGGATCGGCCAGGAGTAACCAACCCCAGGCCGTGAGGAGTACATTCTGCGACTTGATGTCCCCATGGCAACGTGGCTACAGGAAGGAGAAAAAAACGAGACGAAGTTGTATGTGGTATAACCTCTTTCAACAAGATCCTCAGTTATTTAAACTCACAGTAGAGTCAGCATTTGTAGAGGAATGTAGTTGATTGATAGCAGAAAGCAGTTGGAAGGTAATCCACCGTTTTTCGTCCACAGTAAGGAAGGGGCGAGTGCAAAGTCGCTCAGTCAGGGAATGATCCACAAAATCACGAATAATGAAGACGTACTTATCAGTGATGAAGTCTCTGAAGCAAATGATGATGAATCAGAGTAAGAAAAGCCGACAGTTAGGCCTTATCGGCAGTGGAGCTTACATGCTTAAGGGAAGTAGGTTTACAGCACCTTCAATCCACCGACAAAATGGAAGTACGACCTTTCTGGCATTTTCAATAGAGAAGGTCGCTTTTGAATAGGGGAACACCTTCACTAGCTTGCGGGATGACCACTTGTTCCCCACACATCTGTAGAGAGCAGGAATTGACAAGAGAAGAAGATCTCACCTTACTTTAGCCACTTTAAACAATCGAGATCCCCGAAGTTCCTCTTCAAATGTGAACCAGTTCTGCAGTTCGTGCAAACACTCTTCGCATCCAACAACCTGAGGGGAAGTAACTCCATAGACTTGATTTCCCATCGCCGATAAGCTAGAAAAACAGGAGCAACTGAACCATGGAAACTCATGATACTCGATAAGACTGATAACAAAGACCAGCCAGTTCACTTTATTAGCAAATAGACAAAGTAAATAAAATTAAAGAAAAGGTGCGCAAGGTTTGAAAGACTGATTCAATTTAAATGTTTGACCATCATTTTAGTTGAAAATTTGCGATCCTCCTGAGCGCAGTAATGTTTGTGATGTTGCCCATCACTGTGATGATGACAGCTCAAGGACCTCAAAGCTTCTCTTTCCAACCGCCTCAAGTCCATGTACACATGGGCCGGACCAGTAGGTGAGCCATTACGAGAACGAACGCTAGAATAGTGTTCGATACTCTCGTTATAAGCGAGATGGATTTGGGGATGCGTACATGAAGGAGACGGGCAACTGCGAGCCACAAGACGAGGTGCTTGGCCCAAGCGATGAACTATCACATCGACTCCATAAACCCGAGCCAACGCCACAATGGACATATGATCCCCATAGGTTCCTGGCACAGCTAGCTTTCGCACCATCTGCTTGTATGATCCGTCGCCACAGAAGGGACGCATTTCATGACGATGGGTACGGAGGTAGGTGACGGCTCGATCTCGTAATTGAGTGTGGTCGCGGATGTCGCCAGTGAGTTGATCAGCAAAGGCGGAGAATAAGCAGTTACCGTCCAATGGAACAGAACGAAGAGTCAGACCTCTATGCGCCAGCTGAATCCTGAAGGCTCGTGAGTTACCAATTTCATTGGAGCTTCTGGTGTAGCTGCTACCAGAAGAGGATGTAGAGTGAGAAGAGGAGCTACTCCTTCGGTACCGTTTAGAGGTTCGTCTATTCATTCAAGTCTGTTATAAAGAATCAGATCTAAATGTGATAAGATGGAAAATAAAAAGTGAGCGCATACAAACGCTAACATAAACATGGCACAAGTAATTCACTACCAATAAAGTTATTCTAAAGCTTCTTACGCCATTTCGAGAGGATGTGTGAACAAAAAAGGAGACATTTTCTGGTACGCTAGCTAACGCTGTCAGGCCAGAGGAGGCTTTAGAATCAAAATAACGACATAATTACAGCACAGTCCCAAAGAACTGATGCTTGATCGAAGTAGACTAGAATCCACCACCGCTAAGTGAATATTGGATGGGCACATGCTTTTGACAAGTATAAATAGCATTAACACAACCACGCGACAATCCAAACGTGAGATGATTTGTCTGCCATAGTGCCATAATCACGTCAGAAGTAAGAAACTACTCAAAAGACTATTTGAATCGACTGTCGAACTAGCGAAGCAATCATGACAGGAGATTGAGTTAGTGGAGACGCCAACAGTCAGGCGCACAGATTTATATGGTCAAACGCCAAAGTTAGTACACTCCAGGAGGTGTCGTAAGCTACCGTCCCTTATCAACTCGAGTCAGTCCTGACACCTGGATAAGCCAAGTTAGAATGCTGATTTTAACGTAAGACGTATAAGTAAATAAAGCTAGCGTCATTAAAAGAGTTAATATCGCACCTCGATAAATGAACGAAGTCACTAAAGCAATACATACGCCCACCAATCACGAACGTACTTGTTTCATGTTTAATATTTACAGCAATTAAAATCAAAATTCCTCCCTTATCGTTAATCTTATAAATTTACGTAATTTCGAACAATTCGTCCATTGTTTGAACAATATCGCGTAGAAATAGGTTTATGGACCATTAAAAGAGGCACCACCGCAGTGTACACATTTTATACTTCTTCCATTTTTCTAAAAATAAAGCTAAGCATTTTAATACTCTGCTTATTTGACTATATGACGTTTGGCGGTCACTTTAGGATTTGTTTGGTTCTTGTACACGTGGGCTGGCCCTCGGGCCATGCCCAGGCCCATTTGTCCTGTTGTCTTCAGAATACATGTATCCAACTGCATTTAGTAACTTCTTGTGCCTGCCAGGAGGTTTCAGAACGCTGCACTTGTGGGAGCGGAAAGCGAACCCGGCATTTTCTTTTTATCGACTTTTGGCCGAGGTGGGATCTTTCGGCGGCTTGTTCTTCGTTGGTCGTTTGTAAGAAGCGACACAGTGTCTGGGAAAATCCCTTATCTAACAAACACCGCTGTCATGCTGGCATTCTACATTTGCGTTGCTAAATTTTGCCAATTAATTGACTGATTGCCGGAAAAGAATAGTATGAACAAGCCGACGAGCAATGGCTCGATTGGATGATGCAATGCTTCGGTACCTACAAATCGCACAGAATCTGGAGATGTATGCTGCTTGTTCTTAGAAACAATGCTCTGGGTTCGAGTAGCTTTGAGCCCGACAATCTGTTGGACTTCAAAATCGGGGTCCCTTGGCCGAAAAGTCAAATCCTCACTTTTCACGACAAGAGGTTAATAATCCAACCAGCAGACATGACTGCAAAGAAATTTTACTTTTTAGTAGAGAAGTCCATGATTAATGAGGGCATTTTGGCGTTGTGCGCCGTCAATCATGAGCTATAAACGCATAGAAGGAGGTCTGACTCTATCGAAGTGAAATAGATGAAGATACAGGTGAAAAGGAGACGTGAATTGAAGGAAGCGCATTTGCCTTGGCGATGGAGTATCTCTGATACCTACACAATGAAAGAATTTAGACTGACGTCTACATTTGTTTTCATTTATTCCTGTGTTCCACAGGCAAGCTATTAACAACTGAAGCGACGCGGCCGTGGACCATTTGGAAAAGTTCCATGTCGGAATTTCCTATACAAAATCCGTGTTTAGGTGTTGGAAATGACACTAAGGTTCTCATTACATACGGGACAGAGACTTGTCCCGTATACCCTGTAACATATACGTTTTAGACCAGAGTTCCACCATCTATTCCTGGAAGCAGTTGATGGTCAACAGGTGTATGCGGCCCTGAAAATGGTTGTCAGACTGAACGTAACTCCAGATCCAGTTGAAGCTGCCGCGAAGACCAGGTACGTTTCCTCAGTCGTATGCTCCCTATCGACTAGCGCGGTTGGCTCGTGAGTGCTTTCATGTAGTACCGAATATGTTGTGATAGCTGGCGCTCAAAAGATGAGAGGGGCGGTGCAATACTCTGTTTATTTGACTCATGACGTTAGGTGGGCTGGTCTTCGGGCCATGCCCAGGCCCATTTGTTCTGTTGTCTTCAGAATACATATATACAACTGCACTTACTGATTTCTCATGCCGGCTGGGAAGTCTCGGGACGCTACAAGCACAAGCAGCGTTTCGAGTCTGTCCAACAAATTGATTAGAGCGAACACCATACATACAGTTAGCCAAATGGATAGAGTATTATACTATCTCCTGTAGCGTCCCGAGACTTCCCACCAGGTAAAAGAAGACATCATTTTAGAACGAATACAAATTTTCCAGAGAAAGCAAAGTGTTGAAGCCTAAGCATGGCTCAAAGGCCGGCCCACAATGTATTACACTGTCTCTTTCCTTTTGAGTGACGTCCTCAGTATTCTATTTGGTACGCCTCCTGCGCCAGCCATCATAACATATCAGGTGTAAAAAGGAAACACCCTCGAGTCAGCCGCACCAGTCATCAGCTACCATGAGACTGAGGGACAGAACTCGATTTCCCCAATGCAATAAAGTGAAGCCAAAGTCACGTTAAGTCTGAGCTTAGAAATCGCGGCAAGGAATACTTTTTGACCATCAACGGTGTCCACGACTAGACGCCGAACCATTAACCTCCTTAAAGGAGGAGGACGGAGTCAAGCATAGTCTTGTATGGAAAGGGGTTCGCTGTTGTATCATGTCTGATATCTATATGCCAAAAATTTCAACAATAATCCTTCCTAGGTAGTTCCTTTGGATGTCGCTTCAGTTGTTAATAGATTATTTGTGTCGCATGAGAATGGAGTAGGTGTTGTGTACAGGCTACTCTTTTGGTAATAGAGTGCATAAAAAATTGGCCAATGCTTGTAATCAGAAAGAGTGGGTAGGGGTGGCTTGATGACCTGGTCAAAAGATTAGCTCACATAGCAAAAGCATAGAAGTCTCCAAATCTACCACCATTCCTTCCCATAGCAAACTCAACAAAGTATTAGAGTGGGACTATGGCACGGCTTAAAGCCTAATCCACCCGACCGGCACTTAGACAGGCTGTCAAACCAGCAAGATGTAACAGCATCGCTCTCAGCGCTTCCCTTGATCCTCCTCCTGCGTTAGCTATGGCAACACAGTCGGTGCCGCAAGATAACATTTGCGAAGGAAACTTAACAGCCGTCTACCTTGGTGCGAGTGAGGGGAGGTATCTGATGCCCAAATCACCCATAATGCCAAGCGGTTTGAACTGAATCTGGAGTTGCCTCAGTCTTAAAAAGGCGTCATTTCGACACAGTTTATGTGAACACCTGTACTATTAGCGCTTACTTTGGGATTTATCTCCCTCTTTTGTGCGTGAGGTTGCCTTCAAGCTAAAGCATCGGTGAGTATCCCCTCCTCTTTTTCACCTTAACCACATCTATACTGCCAACTTGCAGCCATTTTTATTTTGGAGGAAGTCTTGAAACTCTACAGTCAGAGATTGGGGTCCCATTAGCATTAAGATACTGGCTTACACAAAATCATACTAAAAGTCTTCCGAACTACGCTAAGCCTTGTTAGCATTAGGATTCATGCTGTCGCCGTATATGCACAAATGAGGTTCGAGGAACCAAGATGTCGCTCCACGGGAACATGGGAATGAAGTAGATGCCAAAGCCATTTACCTTCCTCGGCCATTCTGCTGTAGTGAAAGAAGAGTTTCGGCTTCAGGATTAGATACGCCTTACCAAAAAGCGGTGATAAGCAGGAAAGAATTGTAATAAAGTTTGGTTTGCCCTAGCAGCCTGTATAGAAAACGGCTCCTTTGGCTATCATATCTCTTGTGTCAAGTAAGATTATCTTCAAACCACAAATAGGGCCTTCATCTGAAAGGTTTGTATGATTGTACGTGACCACCATGTTTTATTGCAATGATTGCTTATTCAACTATTTATATGTGTGGGGGACTTTGACTGCTGACTTAATTCTGCTGCTTGCTTTCTATACTTTATGTCTAAAAAAAGGACTCATCCACGTTTTGTACGTTCTATTATTAGATGAGAGCCTTCTTGACGTTCTGCCCCATAAATTGTGAAAAATTGTGAGCTGCTAAATCGCAGTGCTGGAAGCTTCTGATAAAAACAATATTGAACCGCTTTGTATCTTCCGTAACGTCTTCCCCTCCGCTCTCTCTGCTCATCATCTCAGCCTCCTTAGAATGGAAATAACTTGACAAGATTTATTAATAGTCAATATGTAGGTGCAGTCACAATGCGCAGGAGTACGCTAAAGTATCCAAACTAGCCTACGAAGATTCTTTTCACTCCATCTGCACATCTTTCGAATTGAGTTCGAATGAGCTATAAAAGTGACTAAATGTATGGTCGGTTGTCCTTCATCTGTGAGTCGTCATCTTGGCTTCAAGGGGACGCCGTCTAATTAAGCCAAAGCTTAACCTCCCGTTCAAACTTAACTAAAGTTATTCAAGCCTATATAATGGCCTTCTTGGTAGTGAGTACACTCGAAGCCTTGCAAGTGACCATTTAAGTTTTTGTCATTATTTGATTACCTGACGTTAGGCGGTCACTTTAAGATTTGTCTTACCCTTGTATTCGTGGACTGGACCTCGGGCCGCGCTCGGACCCGTTTGTTCTGTTCTCTTCGGAATACCTGTATCCAGCCTCACTCACTGCTTCTTCTTACATACGGGAAAGGAGCTAATCTCGTGTTCTCTGTAACATGTCTGTTTTCCAGACCAGAGCTTTACCATCTAGTCCTGGAAACCAATGATGGGG